CACTTTGGAATTCTTGGGAGATTTTCCTTTGTTATTATGCATATGATAGCCAAGGCTGGAACATGAATAAGAAAAAGGCAGATCATTATATATTGCAACATTGACGCTTGGAACAGTCCAATGTGAATCTGTGTAGCTATTTGCAAGATGGAAGAATGACAGTGTGAGAATAAGGGAAGAAAGAGAATGCCCAAATAATTTGTAAAACAGCAACAGTATTCAAATTTTGTTGAATAATAAAAGAACAGACAGCACAGATTTACTGATGTGCAGTGTTCATTTGATTTATATGTATAGTTATGAGCTCCCTCAGAGTGTGTTTGCGTGTAAACATAGCTAAACATAACTCTGTTTCCTTACATGTTTATAAGCATGTTTGGTGACTCGTTGCAATGACAAGAAGGTGGATGAATAAAAAAGTAACACAGCAGTGAAATTATGTAAGTAAGTGGTGATACAGAAACACCCCAATTCTACTAAAAATAATAAAAAGTGATTTCCTATGTAAATTTAGATTAACATTTCTGCACAGTGTACTCCGATTCAGAAATTGTGCAGTATTACTAGGTGGCAACAGATTGGCTGCAGTGGTTAATCCATACGATCAATGAAGTAAGCAATGAACGTGACTTTAAAACAAATGTTTAAAAAAACATACAAGCTCATGGTAATCAGTAAAAAGCAAGGAATTCCAGAAGCGCAGTTAAAGATCCAAATAAAAATGTGGGTTGCTCATTCAAGACAAAATACCCCATTTCCCTGAAAATCAGACCTAACCTGAAAATAAGCTCTAGTATGATTTTTTAGGATGCCTCCAATATAAGCCCTACCCCCCAAATAAGCCCCAATTAAGTGAAACTCTGCCCTCCACCGTTGTGCGGCCCCCAATATAAGCTCTACCCCCCAAATAAGCCCCAATTAAGTGAAACTCTGCCCTCCACCGTTGTGCGGCAACCAGAAGAAGGTAACATGAGTGTATTTAAATAAATGTAGATTGTTGTACATGAAAAAATAAAACATCCCCTGAAAATAAGCCCTAATGTGTTTTTTGGAGCAAAAATTAATATAAGACCATGTCCTATTTTTGGGGAAACATGGTAAATAGGATAAAAACTCCAGATAGGAGAAGAATGTATTGCCAGAATGGCTTGGATGCAATACATTATTATTGTTTAGGGCTGCCACATGCAAAATCAGAATAATCATGACGTTGGCCAACCACCAACAGAAGAACAGGAGTGAATTTCAAAAAGGAACACAAATATAAGCAATCTTACCCTGATTGTTGAGACATCCCCTCAAACTTGTTTGCAGTTTTTGAGGCTGGTGGACCCAAATCATTACCTAAGATTTAAAAATATTAAATTGAATTTTAATTTGATATTGAAAAAGTAGCAGATACAAGAGAAATAATAGACAACTTCCTTGTAAATTAGAAACGTATTTACTTGTATTTCAAATTTTACATTGCAATGGCTGAAATCTGTTGCTTACCATAGGCAGTTGCACTACAGTAGGTTCTTTAATGGGATTTGGTATGACAATTCCTTTGTAAGTTCCATTGATTCTAAAAGGTTTACTCAGCTTGGGACTTAGCAACAGGATTTCAGCCAAAGTCAGTCTGAGCAATTAAAGTCAATGGCATGATAAAGAAGAATGTTTAAAAAGACTAATTCTAACGACAACTGAACAATTCAACTGCATCTGTCAGTTTCTTTACAGGAAATCATGGTGTTCAATCCTGCCTACACTTGAATGTATGCATTTGTGGTCAAGGCAATATGAAGGAAACTGTAAACTTCTTGCTCAGAGACAATGTTTTCATTTTGCTACAAAGTCATTACTTCAGGATGAAAGTCTGAAGTCTTTATATACGGAGATCATTGCTTCTGTAAGGATTTTTAAAATCACAGAGTTTACCAAATTGTGTGAAGACACAGAAGAAAATGTTTATTACTTCTACCTCTGTGGCTACACTGTATTAGTTTCATAATGAGAGAAAAAAAATAGTAATTTAACCTCTTCCGCTTACTATAAACAGGGAATCTGCAGATCCTCAGAAATGCTATTTACTAAACTTTTACATCAGTTGCTAATAACAAGTTCAGTCTCTCTGGCAAGGATTAAAATTGGATCCTAATATTTGTTCTTCACCAATGTGAAGAACATATATAAGCCTGATTCACTGCCACCTAGACCACCACTGCAAAGTTTTCACATGAACTAGGTTGCTGAGAACGAGCCATGCTCTTGGCAAGATGCATCTGAAAAAAAAAATGAATGGCATCCTATGAAACCATATGGGTAGATAGAATTGGTTTGATTTTTGTGGTCCTGGAAAGCTCTTTGTATCAACTAAGATGTGTATTCCCCCCAATGAAATATTATAGGTTTAACAGGATCGTATCAGAACTCTGTCCCACTCCAGCTGCCCTCTTTCCTATAAAAGCTCCTCAGGCTGCCTGAGAAAAGGGAACTTTTCCCTATAAAGAAATGTGGTTCTCATCACAGAATCTAAGAGATCCAGCCAAAACAGGAAAGAGATGAGAGAACAAAAGCAAATGTCAATTTCCATTTGCTTGGGTGGGGTGTGGAGGGGAGAGAAAGAATAGAGAGAGAGAGACTGTCTGGCAACACAGACCAGCTTCAACGACCACAGAATGCAAGTAATAAGGAAAACTAAAAGCCCAGAAAGCAGAAGATCTGGAAGGTGGGGAAATGGTCAATGAGACTGAAAGCAATTCACTGACTGTATGCACTGCATGCTTCTATGGAGGGTAACAAGTGGGACAACTATATTACTTTCACAAAATACTGTATTTGGGTGAAATTGTCAATTGTATAACAAGTCACATTTGTCACCTCTGACACTATGTGGGTGTCATTTTGTTATATTTTTGGCCGTTTTTATATTTGTGTGCATGTGTGTGTTTTTTTTAAAAAAAGGCATGTAAAAGCCATGTGTTATTTGCAAAGTAACAACTGATGATCAATGGATAGCACATCTTGTTTAAGACAGTTCAAAGCACAGGACTGATGAAAACTGGATTTCAGTTTTGCTTCAAAGCCATTAAGAACCATCAGACCTCCCAAGCAGGCTTCAGCATTTCATCCCTTACATCTTTTCCAAGTTTTTTTATGAGATTACAAGTTCTGTTGTAAGTTCAATACAAAGCTGCCAACTCTTATGAAAAGACTGCTTAATTAAGAGTGGATACAAAACAGCAATACAAAGCCAAGAATGAGAATTGAAAGCAGTACACATATACAAAAGGACAAACTAAGTTCGTGAGTAAAAACAGACATAGCACAAGTGTTCCCATTTGCCATGTAAAAGGCGAACCACTAAAGGAAAAGCAATGCACAGGACAGTGTTTGGCTGTGTCAAAGAGAAAGCAAACTCAGAAAAAAAAAACGCTTTGGTTCTATTGCCAGCTTTGTCAAATTCTTCCTGCACTGCTTTAGTTCTTAAGATTGTATTCTACCTTTTGTATTATAATATTTTATTTTTCAAGCCACCCTGTGTGCCTTGTGCAAAGAGGCAGTACCACTCAAATTACAAAAAGGCAGATTTTAACTAAAGATTAAGATGAACTTCCGGATGGTAAGAGCTGTTCAACAGCTGAACAAACTACGTAGCTTGGAAAAGGGGTGGACTTCCCGTTAAATTTTTAGACAGAGGTTCCACGGCCACCTTTAGGGATACTTTAGCCGTGATTTCCTACATTGGCAGGACGCTAGAGTAGAACTCTTGAGGCTCTTCTTCAACCCTACAATTCTTTGATTTGCTTATAAATAAAACAATGCCATCTGGATGAAACAGTCATATCCGTGTATAAGGATGAGGGGACCCTAAAGGGCACTCCTCAGAGTGTCTTGTCCGATTCCTCGGCTGAGGATATTGAGGGACAGTTCTTGCCCACCCTGGAGGAGAACCTTAAGGGGCTGTGTTTAGAAGAACAGAGGCAGAAAGGACAAGATAATTATTATAATTTTAAAAATCATGTGTTTTACATATTTTTTTAAATATTTTGAGTCAGTGGTTGCTATATTAACTGCTTTTTAACACATTACGACTGAATATGTTTTAGCCATATCTGTTTTCCAACCATTTATAAACTGTTTCCTTTACTGCATGGGTGGGAAAGATCTAGTCCATGGGGTATATGTGGTCCCAATACCACCTGAAGCCCCCCTACCCCAAGAAGAATTACATTTTTCACAATTTAAAAAAAGTCCCTTTTGCATCTAGAAGCCTCTTGGACTGGATTGTTTTTCATTAGATGAAACAGTCATATCTGTGTATAAGGATGAGGGGACCCTAAAGGGCACTCCTCGGAGTGTCTCATCCGCTTCCTCGGCTGAGGATACTGAGGGACAGCTATTGCCCACCCTGGAGGAGAACCTTAAGGAAAAGCAGCTTGAAAAGTTTTCCTTGAAGATGATCAAGTGAAGACTTAAAATGTACAACTTTGAAGACCATGGATGAATTTCCCAATCATTACGAGGAGATAATGCTTATTAAAGCCAAAGAGAGCTGTGTTCACAAAATGTCATGATCGTTTTTCCACGGATTGCTACCACTAGGTACAAATGAAGCTGCAAATCTTTGGAATGACCTAGAAATAAAAGTCATAAAACATCAGTAGGCTTAACAGCTGGAGTACTTAATTTATAAATAGCAATCAATGGCTCAATTCAGACATCCAAGACCTACAGAGAACTAAAGCTTCCATATATACAACTGAACCATATATATGGCTCAGTTCAGACATCCAAGACCTACAGTTCTGCTCTATTTCCAGTTTCCATCTGCTCATCACTCCTTTCCCTAAGAAGAGGCCTAATTTTGCCAGTTCAGAGATCACACCAAACAGATATCATCTGAACCATGATTTGGGAGTCTGGTTTGCTGGCCAGTAGTTTGTCAATTCAGATGTCACACCAAACCGTATTTAATGCCTCCTTAGATGTGATCTGGTGAGAAGTCTGAATTGAGCCTTTATGCACACATTCGGCATTAACACCAAAAAGAGAGGCACTATATACACATTTCCCAACCGCACCTGAGAGTTGTCTGGTGTTTTAAGACTCACCCCAAGGAATTTGGCCCTTATTCTGGGGTCCATGAGGTAGTGGGCTTGGAGGGTCAGAGAGGGTTCTTTTATGTCCTGGGGGCGGGGGCGGGGGCCTCTTCTTAGACAGAGTGGAGCTGCCGCTAGTGGTTTGAGTACTTAAAGGGAGGGTTGAAGGAGGGCCAGATGGACCTGTAAAATCAAACAGAGACCTTCTTACTAACGCAAGGTTAAAACATAATGGCACAAAAGGAACACAATTTGGACCACAATAAATTTTAGCGAGGTGCTGAAAAACAGTAAGACATTTCCAACATTGGTAAGATTAACAATACATGATTAGTTTTTCTGTAAAATGTGGGTACTTTGAATCAGCTCCTATGCGTATGAAGACAGAAAGACAAAACATAGAGTGTCAGAGAAAAGCTAGACCACAAAAGAATTGCCATTTAATCTTTAGACATACCAGGCAGTGTTTAGGTGAACTTATTCAGTGGCCAGAATCCTATTTGTAACAGAGGAAGGTAGCTGCTCTGCTTATGGACTGCTCTGCCATTCTTCGTGGCACTTATGATTGATTATTCCTTTGCACCACGGGCATTTTTCAACTATCACATGTACAACGGGATCATTGCACATGTGGAAAACGGTAACAGGATTCCTCCCATTATGAGTTAGATCCCGTTATTCATATTTAGCACAGACCATTGCAATAAGTGGGGTTTAAGTATGACTAACCTAAATTCCATTGATTTCAACAGTGATCCAGCTCTGTAAATGTATAGATTTTATTTTCATAATGTTAACTCCAAACCTGTAAACTAATTTACAAATAAATTTACTTCCAAGTGTTTTGAAAGATAAATAAGAAGTACAGTAGAATTCCACATAATGACTTCCAACTTCACCATGATTCAATAGGTGGCTTTGGAAAACTTTTTTGCTGTTCAGATTAGAAAGATCAGTAATACCAAATAGTACAGATTTGTGTTACAGATTAAAACAAAACATTGTACAATGCTATTGTTTCAAAAATGCCTTTTCTTTTAAGTAGCTACACTGAGAATTGGTGGATATAGGGATGCACCAGAACTCAGAAAGCCTTGGTTTGATCATGGAACAGATTCATTGACTCTTGTGCAAGTTTTGAGTGGATAAATTAAAGTAGTGTTTTCTCCCCATTACCACCATTTCTACCTTTTTACAATAAGATGTCTCTTGCTGTCTTTTCTTTGTATACTCACTTTTTTTTTCTTGCTGCGGGAAGCTGTACGTTCCAGAGTGAGTAGATACAAAATGTGCAGCACTCTGATTTGGGCTAGGCAACGGGTGAGTCCATTTGGGCAAGCCAGAGCACTGACTGAAGACATATTCATCATCCCAAACATATATTTTCTCCCATTATTCTAAATATTTTTTAATGCTTGATGCACCACAAGAGTGTCACAGAAGAAATATCCACCTGAAATTACTGTTGTTTGTTTTTTTTGTATTTGACATGGCACAACATCTCCTACGCAATTGATACGAAGGGGGTGCTTCCCACCCCCATGTTATATGTGCCCGCCTATGTGCCGGAATGGGTGGGATGCCAAACATGCAGCATTCTGTGGACAGACCACATCTAAGGCACACTTGAGCAAGCCAGGAGTCAATAAGGGACATCACTTACCATCCCCAAACACAGCGTCTGGGGAGAGGATGGAAAGAAGGAAGCTGCTATGGGTTTTCTCTACACAGTGTGTGTCTACTACATTTCCAAAGTTGATAGCACTCCATACTGCCTCTCTAGGTCATAGCCCTCTGTCCTTCCCATTTGCCTCTCTTCAACCCCCACCGACCGCAATCCAGAAACACAGATACGTACATCTGCAAACAGCCCCCCCCCATGAACAGATCAGTTCAGAACACCTCTAAATCAGCTCAGAGAAGACCATACCAATTTTTTAAGGAAACATTTGGATACAAAATCTGATCAGAAAGCAATTGAACATGCATAGCTTTAAGCATATGGCATTGAAGTCATATTTAGCAGTAATTAGGGCTGCCTCAAACCATTGGATTATATTCGCAGATCCTGAATAATTTGGCTGGCAGAAGCTGATTTTTCACCTCTGCCTTCCTGAATGTGTTGTGTTCTCCCCCTGAGGTCTGGAAGATCCAGCTCAGTGAAGTGTCTGAGTGTTGGAGAATGCTAGAGGAAGACGATTGTAGCTTGCTTGCGAGCTTTTTTTGGGGGGGAGGGGGGTATTGTAGCACAGGGAGAGAGGGGGCAGAGAAGAATATTCCGATACAGGGAAGACAGCAAGAGTTTAAGAGCATGCAATCCTAGCAGTGTGCTGCATTTCAGTGTGTGTTACTAGTATAGTTCTTCTTTATTAAGTCTTCCATGCCACCAAAAATATGCTATGAAGATTTATAACGTTTTAGAAAGTGAATGAGAATGGAGATTATTTTTAAACCTGTGAAAAGGGAACATGGCAAAAGTATAATTTCAATAAAGGCCCTTAAGTCAAGTAAGGACAGAATGGTGGGGAGCATTGCTTGTCTGCATTCCCACCAGTCAATGCAACCCCTTCCCAGCTTTCAGGCATAATGTATGAATTACTGTATGTGAACTAGACCAATGATGTTATGAACTGTGAATTTGGCCATGTGCTGTTGTTACTTAGAATAAACCAGTTCAGTTTGCAGGAAAAACTTGCTCTGCCTCCTTTCAAAGCAGTCTCTGAGAAAAATATAAAACTGTTGATTTTTCGCTCCATAAGACGCACCTCTCCATAAGACACACCAAATTTTTAGGAGAAGAAAACAGAAAAAAATAATCTGTTTTCTTCGCTACATAAGACGCACAGATTTTCCACCCCCCGTTTTGTGGGAAAAAAGTGTGTCTTATAGTGCAAAAAATACGGTAACTTCTTTTCAGTATCAATATAGTTCATTTCACTTCTGCCTTTCTAGAGAAATATTAAAACTACCTGCTCCTTTTCTAGTTACTATTTCCTCTACTAACACTAGCCTGTTTTTGTACCTAATCCTACTGTGGTCCACCATGGCCCGAATTAGATGGGCTAATCGGCGGGGTGGGAGTTATTTGCTTAACACTTCTTTGGTTAACATTCTATTAACATTTTAAAGATGAACAGAATGGCAGTGGAACTGAATATATGTTAACCAAGCCTTGCCCATGTCTCCATTTTCAAATGTGAATTTAAGCCTACAAACCTTTATGACATACTGCGGTGTTTGTGCTGGTTCCACTTTTTAAAACAGAAGCGCCATGTAACCATTACATAAAAAATTATATTCATGATAGTTTATGTGAAACTTCTAAATGAGAGATGAATGTGAAGAAGCTGGAATTGCAGAGACTATCATAGCCGATTGGGCCTGAAAGTCCTATACCACTGCATTCCAGGTAGCGATGGGTGGGCTATCTGAGAAAAGAACTGCATTACATCACCAAAAAATACTGTAGCTCAAATGGTAGGAACATGGGTTCTCACTCAGCACTGCATCTCTCGGATGTTTCTGCCCCTCTTAACAGGTCCACCTTAGAAATTTCTGAAGTAAAACAGATTCTTTACTCTGCTCTTGTGGTCATCCATTGTCTGGGGTAATTCACACACTAGAACAGTGATGGCGAACCTATGGCATTGTGCCACAACTGGCATGCGAAGCCCTTTCTTCTGGTATGTGGCAAACCTTTTGAAGTGGCTGCAGCTTGAATTCCCCCTTTCTTTTCCTGTTCCGGGTCCTTTTAACTTCCTCTCCGTCTGCATGATTCCCCCTTTAACTTCCTCTCCGTCCCCTTGATTCCCCTTTTAACTTCCTATCCATCCTCATGATTCCCCCTGAAACAGCCACTTCTTGTTCCGGTTCTGGTCTTCCGGGTGGCACGGCAGCCACTGGTTTCTTCCCCACCCCTCATTTTGGGCACTTGAGCTGAAAAAGGTCACTGTTTCCACTGTTGTACTGCTCTAACAGTTAGGAAGTTTTTCCTGATATTCAACCGAAATCTGGCTTCCTTTAACTTGAGCCCTTTGTTGAGTGTCCTGAACTCTGTGATGATTGAGAAAAGATCCTGCCCTCCTCTGTATGACAGCCTTTCAAATATTTGAAAAGTGCTATCAGATCAGCCTTTTTTTCTCAAGGCTAAACATGCTCAGTTTAGAGATGGGGATATTCATATAAGAATACAAATATCCCTGCCCGAAATCTGGCTTCCTTTAACTTGAGCCCTTTGTTGAGTGTCCTGAACTCTGTGATGATTGAGAAAAGATCCTGCCCTCCTCTGTATGACAGCCTTTCAAATATTTGAAAAGTGCTATCAGATCAGCCTTTTTTTCTCAAGGCTAAACATGCTCAGTTTAGAGATGGGGATATTCATATAAGAATACAAATATCCCTGCATAGGTGGAAATAACATAATTGGGCCCCATGGGGCCAGACCGTCCACTCACGATTTTGCCGCTGCTGCCGGCTCCACAGAGGCTTCCTATTGCGTCACTGTCCGCAATCGATTAACCAGTCCCATCAGGAGGAAGGATGACAAGCCTCTCTGCCAGGTTGCAGAGTGGCTAATCCACAGCACGATAGAAAACCTCTAAGGAGCCGGTGCCAGCGGCGAAATCATAAATGGAGAGGTCTGGCCACCCTCATTATTCCCACCTGCGTGGGGATATTTGTACAGTATTAGTATATGTATACCCCCGTCTCTAGCCCAGTTCTTTCAACCTTTCCTCATAAGGCTTGGTTTCCAGCCCCCTGATCATTCTTGTCGCCCTCTTTTGAACTTGTTCCAATTTTTAAGCATCCTTCTTGAAGTCTGATGTCCAGAACTGGACCCAATACTCAAGGTGAGGGCTAACCAGTGCTGAATAGAGGGGGACTAGCACCTCACAGGATTTGGAAGCTATCCTTCTCTTAATGCAGTCTAGAACAGCATTAGCCTTTTTTTTAGCCACATCACACTGTTGGCTCATATTTAGCTTGACATCTATGACAATTCCAAGATCCTTCTCACTCATAGTTTTGCTGAGCCAGGTATCCCCCATTTGCAACTGTGCAATTGGTTTCTTTTTCCGAGATGCAGGAATTCGCACTTATCCCTGTTGAATTTAATTCTGCTGCTTTCGGCCCAGTGCTCCATCCTATCGGGTCATTTTCATGCTGTTTCTGTTTTCTAGGGTATTAGCTGTTCCACTCAATTTCATATAATCAGCAAATTGGAGAAGCATTCCCTGCACTTCCTCATACAAGTCATTAATAAAAATACTGAAGAGCACCAGGCCCAGGACTGAGCCTTGGAGTACCCCACTGGTTACCTTCTGTTTTCCAGAAATTTATGGATAGTGGTCCTGAGAGTTCTTCAGCCAGTTCCTTCAGTACGGCAACTGATTCCAAAGAAAAGCTTGTAGGGGGAAAATAGCTCATCTAATGTTCCTCTACCATTCATGTTCCTGTACCATTGTTATTTTACGGTAGTTAATTTATAACAGAGGCTCTCGCATTCTTTACAGCACAAGCTTCTGCTAAAGACCTGCATATCAAAGACACTATCATCACAAGGTTTCACATCCCTGACTTTCTTACCAACCATGATCTCTGTGTCTTGACTACTATACCTTGATGCCATGTATAAATATTTGCCATGTTATACCTCCTTCTCTTATGTCTGATTAAGTGAACTTGTCCGTGAAAGCTCATACCTCCTCTTATGTCTAATTAAGTGAACTTGTCCGTGAAAGCTCATATAAAAATATAAAAGTTAGTCTTTAAGGTGCCACCACATAATTGTCTTTTTCTTAACTTTTATATAAAGAAAAGAAATCCAAACACAGATTCCAAATGGAAACGGCTTAATAAAAATTCATTGAGGAAGCTCAGATCCACCCCCTCCGCCTCCAGGTTCAATAAGAACTATGCCTTTCTATCTCAACATATGTATGAATCAGCTCATCTATGCAAGTTGGACTGCAGTGGTACCTGATTATTATATTGGCAACGACATGGACAATTTTTTATACTTGTAACTTTTGCATTCCTCCTTCCTCCTCCCACGGTGCTTACTGTTTCTAAATGCACAAGAACAGTGCAATCCATTTTCACATCATGTTGGCTTTAAAAAGATGTTCCCCTATTTTACATATGTTAACTTTAGATGTTTTAATCTCTGTTTGAATGCACTCTTCATCTATCAGTGGTATCTGAATGACTTTACTACTATTTTTAAAATATAATAATAATTTCATTCGACAACATATTTAAAATAATAATAGATTCCTATCAAGGATAATATATTCAAAGTTATATCATCATCGGACCAGGATATGCTCCAATAATTTAGAAACAAAATCCAATAGTTCTTCAAAAATGGGTACAGAGTCCTAGTGACCCCATCCCATGATGCCTCATAGCTAGGTATTTTATTCACAAACATACAGGACCATATTTTTGTCTTCATTGCTCCACTGATGGTATCCATGCAGTTTTGCAGGATCTGCTTTTTAGTCAATTTATAATGTGCAAACATTAAAACAATGAAAGTCAAGAATCAGATTTTGTTGCAAATTAGCAAACTAAGTTATAGTATCAACAAATTGATTTTTTTTAAAAACCTGTGACATTATTTTATCCAGATGGAACAGTCCCCTGAGTCTCTTGCTCAAAAAAAGCCTATGTTATTAATTACAGGAGGCATGAGAGATACAGTCAGCAAAAATAAGACCTGGAGCTGATTGGAGACGATTGTGGCTCTGATCATCAGCTTATAGCAAAACTTAAGCTTAAACTGAAAAAAGTAGGAAAAACCACTGGGCTACTCAGGTATAATCTAAACCAAATCCCTTATGAATATACACTGGAAGTGAAGAACAGATTTAAGGAACTAGATTTGGTGGACAGAGTGCCTGAAGAACTATGGATGGAGGCTTGTAACACTGTACAGGAGGCAGCAACAAAAACTATCCCAAAGAAAAGGAAATGCAAGAAAGCAATGTGGCTGTCCAACGGGGCCTTACAAATAGCAGAGAGAAGGGAAACAAAATGCAAGGGTGATAGGGAAAGTTACAGAAAACTGAATGCAGACTTCCAAAGAATAGCAAGGAGAGACAAGAAAGCCTTATTAAATGAACAGTGCAAAGAAATAGAGGAAAATAATAGAAAGGGAAAAACCAGAAATCTGTTCAAGAAAATTGGAAATATTAAAGGAACATTTTGTGCAAAGATGGACATGATAAAGAACAAAATGGTAGGGAACTCGTAGAAGCAGAAGACATCAAGAAGAGGTGGCAAGAATACACAGAGGAATTATCTGAACAACTGGGACAACCCAGATAGTGATTAGATAAAACTTCATTACAGTCAAAAGACCAGCCACAAATAAGACATCTAAAATATATAAATATACATAAATATACAAAAATGTTGGGATTGAATGCAAAGCAATAGTCAGTTCTGAGGTAAACAACAAGAGATAGTGTGGTTGCTGGCCTTGAGCCAGACATCCTGGAGAGATGAACAGTGCAAAGAAATAGAGGAAAATAATAGAAAGGGAAAACCAGAGATCTGTTCAATAAAATTGGAGATATTAAACGAATATTTTTTGTGCAAAGATGGACATGATAAAGAACAAAATGGTAGGGAACTCGCAGAAGCAGAAGACATCAAGAAGAGGTGGCAAGAATACACAGAGGAATTATCTGAACAACTGGGACAACCCAGATAGTGATTAGATAAAACTTCATTACAGTCAAAAGACCAGCCACAAATAAGACATCTAAAATATATAAATATACATAAATATACAAAAATGTTGGGATTGAATGCAAAGCAATAGTCAGTTCTGAGGTAAACAACAAGAGATAGTGTGGTTGCTGGCCTTGAGCCAGACATCCTGGAGAGGGAAGTCAAGTGGGCCTTAGTAAGCATGGCTAACAAACAAGGCCAGGGGAGCTGATGGCATTCCAGTGGAACTATTCAAAATCTTAAAAGATGACGCTGTTAAGATGCTATACTCAATATACCAGCAAGTTTGGAAAACTCAGCAGTGGCCAGAGGATTGGAAAAGATCAGTCTACATTCCAATCCCAAAGAAGGGCAGTGCCAAAGAATGCTCCAACTACCGTACAATTGCACTCATTTCACACACTAGCAAGGTTATGCTCAAAATCCTACAAGGTAGGCTTCAGCAGTATCTGG